AAAAAAAAAAAAAAAAAAAAAGACTGAATAATATTTCACTGTACACATGTTACATTTTTGATGTGTTTATAAATCAAGAGACAACTGGGTTGCTTCAGCCTTTTAGCTTCTGTGAATACTAGTACAATAAACATAGATGTTCAAATACGTCTTCCATGTGTTACATATTTTAAATTGCTAAACAGGATTCCTGTATTTGATGATAATTCCATTTTTAATTATTTGAGAAACATTTATAACATTCAAAAATAATGACTGCATCTTTGTTTTCTACCAACAATCAACATAAGTTTTATTTTCATTGCATCATCAACAGATTTGGTGTTTTTAAATAATTTATAGTGGTCATTGTAGTGGGTATGACATGATTTCATTTTTCATTGTTTTTTATGTGTTTCTCTACAAATTACTAATTTTGCATGTCATTTCAAATGCTTTTTTCATTTGTGTATCTTTTATGATAAAAATTTAGTTCAGTTGTTAATTTTCAAATCAAGTTATTTAACTTACTCAGTTTTAAGAGTTTTATATATATTTGAATATTAACTATCACATGTAATATGGAAATATTCTTATCCATTTTCTAGGAAGCATTTTCACTCAGTTAAATGTTTTGTTTTAATGTGCAGAAATTTTGAAGTATAGTATAATTTTTGTTGTTGTTGCTCATGCATTTAGTGTCTTATCTAAGAAAATGGTGCCAAGACCAATGTCCTGTTTTCTTTCTATTTTTTTTCTAAGAGACTTATTAGTTTTTGTATGTCTAAGTATTTTACTTAAAATGTTTTTGTATGTGGTTCAAAGAAACGATCCAACCTTATTTTGTAGGTCATTTGATGGCAGCTTTGTAGATCATTTGATTATTTACGAAAGATTTCATTTCTGGGCTCTGTATTCTGTTCTTTCATCTGTTTATCTGCCTTTGTGTCAATATTACACTGTTTTTGTTACTGTAGCTTTTAATTTTTTATTGTTATTATTTTTGAGATGGAATCTGGCTCTGTCACCCAGGCTGGAGTGCAGTGGCTTAGTCAGCTCACTGCAGCCTCCTCCTCCTGGATTTCAGCGCCGCTTCTGCCTCAGCCCCCCGAGTAGCTGAGATTACAGGCATTCGCCACCATGCGTGGCTAATTTTTGTATTTTAGTAGAGACAGCGTTTCACAGTGTTGACCAGGCTGGTCTCGATCTCCTGAGTTTAGGTGATCCAT